CAAAGACGTGGATCCTTTGTATCAAAAGTATCTCCTTAAGAGAAAGAAGTCAAAGAGCATCTGTTCTTGCTTTGTTTTATTGAAGCCTTTTGCAGATTTTCGTGAATGGTGAACGGTTTGCCTCGTACGCACACCGCATCGACCCGCACGAAATCGGCGGCCTTCAAATTCAGGGCGACGTCGAGCTGTCTGGCATACAAATCGTCGGCAACTGACCTCTTGTTCTTCTCTTTTCGTTCCTATTCTCGTTCTCCTAATTCCTCTTGCTGTTCACTATCAAGTTTATCGATCCCCCGTCTGATCCCCCCTCCTTCCCTTCCCCCGTCCTCGCGTTTTTTCACGCGTTCTTAACCCTGTGCATTGTACATTATCCGCGCATAGTCTGTCGCACAGCTTTGTCCAGTCCAGCTAGGCATATCTCGAGCAGCTCTCTCTCTCACGTACTGAATAGCCACCCCACTGCCATCTCCGTTGATCCGAGAAATTCCTAGTTGAAGAAAAAAAAGCACAACAACGAACCTCGTTCCTCACGTCTCTAGTCCTCCGGCCCTAAGTTTCCAGTAGTGAGTCGTCGAGTGCTGATCGTTCCCCTACTTTCATACGTATATGTATATGTCATCATCTCGCCACTATATTCGCCTACACATATATTCTTTCTGTGCCTAAACCCAAGCACCAATCTCTGTATATCCATTTCCGTCGTCAAATAAAGCTTCACCATCTTTACTCTCTGCTATTTTTCGTTTTCTGCAGTAATGTTTGCTGGGCAAATGCTCAGCTTTAACCGATATCCAATTTCACGATGTCACTCCATTACGTGGGTGTAGCCAGTGAGAACGGAAGTAGGCAAACCGATACACGAGGTTCCTCTGAGATGTTGTCGTCTTTACTGTTGAGATATTTCCGCGAGCACTAGGGAGGAACGAAGAAATTTCAGAATTTGTTTGGTATATAAGATTTTCAATTAGTATCGATAAACAAATTGGTAACCACAATAGAAAAATATGAATTTTCTACTGCTTTACATCTGTCATTCTATAATATCTGTTATTAACTGGTGCAGTAATCACGCTAGGGAGCTTTGCGTATCATAGCAGTGATTATTACGAAAGTCTT